CGGGGGAGCAGCTCACCTTTCCAGCCCCACTACCACCCGGACAAGCCATGGAAAATCCTCCACCTCTCCGAAAAGAGCCACCTGTGTATGTGGCCCTCGGCGGGGTCTGGAAGCGGAGCCTTTCTCCAAGCATCCCTCGCGCACTTCGGAGTGCGCGAGGGAGTGCAGCAGCCGGAGCCTCCCCCGCGGGACCATTGTTCCCAAGGCAAGAAAACACTGTGCAGCACTTTTCAACTCCCGCGCAGCCGCAGTGATTTGTTGTGATGAGCACGGGGTGACTGGACTGACGGTAAGCCCCCACCACCACCGGACTAACTGCTGCTGCCTCCTCCTCCTCTAACAGCACCGCCGGATTTGCTTCCTGGTGCTGCGGCTGAGATGAAGCCGCCAAAGCTCCCACCGTGCTTTTGAGGAGCCTTGAGGCCACGGGAGCCAGTAGGAAGGTGGCGGAGGGGCGGGAGCAGGAAAAAAGGCCCGATGGCTCCTCAAAAGCACGGCGGCGGAGGAGGGGGCAGGGCAGGGGTAATGCGGTGCCCAGCTCAGGTGCTCCGAGCGGAGGAGGAGGAAGCACCGCTGCTGCCATGGGCGGGAGCTTTGGCGGCTTCACCTCAGCGCCAGGTGGCAACAAATTTAATCAAGAACACCCCCTCGCCCCGCCCCGCCCGCCAATGGTGTCACACTTTACCAATTTTAAAATCTGGTCACTTTATCCATGGCATACTGGTATGGTCTCCCTTTTCAGTTTATTTTTGCCTTTTCCTGTTGGGTCAGGTATTATCTCTCAAAACACAACTAAGCTCTCAAATATCCATTGCTCATGTTTACAAGACACCCCACATTCTAGCTAAATTCCTTTTTTTAAAAAAAAATCATTAAATGTTTTAAAAACAAGAGTACGGATGAATCAAAACTAAAATAAAGAAGGAAAAAACAAAAAAGAAAAGGAAAAATAAAGTGCAAAATGAAAAAAGAAAAGAAAAAATGTAAAAAGAAATAGAAAAGAAAGAAAAATGGTGTCTGCTGTTCTGTACAGCAGTCATAAGTACAACTGTAGATTTACCTCTTTTGCTAAAGGTTTACATTGTGATTCTCCGGTCTAATAAACAAGTTACATTCCAGTGATATCCTAGAAGTAAATATGATACCTGAGGTGGATGCTTGGCCATCTAGTTATTTCTTAAATCAAATTTAAGACATTTGTCTTAGAGAAAGCACCAGCTGAGTTAACACTGATCCGAACCCCACACTGGTTTGATTCTTACTTTGATTAGTGCGAACCTTGGATCAGTGCTAACTCAGCTGGTGCTTTCTCTAGATAGGCCAGAAATTAGACTTAGACTTAGAATAACTGTATTGTCACTTTGAATGTACACTAATTGGCATACATTAAAATGAAATTTTGCTGCATAAGGGTCTCAAAGAATCTCCGCCCCAATATACTCTACATAAACATGGCAAAACAAATAAATAAATATTATACATGTATCCACATACTCACCTATATGGCAAGAAAAATGAATCTTGCGAGTGTACCAGATGGATGACATCAGGAACAAAGCTGTTACAGAATCTGGTTTGAAATTGAACCGAAGGTCCACAGCATACAACTATTCCAAATATCTTTATCATAGCACTTCTTATCTTCTATCAGAGCTTCATTTTCTAAGTAGTCCTTTCAAGGCTTCCTATTGATTATTTAATTAAGGTTACTGAGAAAGGTAACCTTGAAAAACAACTTAAATTCTTAAATAGTGATGCTTCTGTTGCACAACTCAAGTAAATAGAAACTCTACAGCAGGGGTGTCAAACCCTTTGCTAAACCGGACATGAGCGTGGCCAACATGTTACACATCCAACCTGCGGGCCAGGAGTTTGACAGCCATGATCTGCAGGCTCAAGTTGACCCCAAAACTAACAGGAAGTAAATATCTAGACAGATGAGTGGAGCTTAGCTTTAAATTCCTACTCTACCATGATCCTCTCTGGGTGATATGGGGCTAGTCATACTTCTTTGGGATGAAGTACTTGATTAGTCACAGGAGTTCTCATTCATTGAAATATGACAGAGACTTGCATAACATTTGCATAAAAAATTAGACAGATTACAGTTTAAATGGAGATACATCTTAGTGGGGAATTTTAGGTCTAACGACTTCTTGCTGCTCTCTTCTATTAAAAAAAAAATTTAATCCAAACCCCAGCTGCTTTGAGACGAAACATTTATTCTGGAATTGCCATGGCTTTCTCAATTAGATTTGAAGTGGTTCAGCAAACATTGCCATACATTTGTAATTCTCCCATGTTTTCGTATTGCTAGGGCCATCCTTCATTCCCCCAAAAGATTTTTTTTAACAATGAAAGAATGTCACAGTCTTGACAGATATAAATGTTGTACATGGAGTTTTCTCAAGAATCATTATTTTAATGTCAGTAATGACTTAAGAAGGCAATGGAATAATATTTGACCTAGTTGGACAGAAAATCCTACTTTTGTTCTCATGAAAGTAGCTGAATATATCCCGATAATGTGTCAGCCATAGACTCTGAGCTTACAGCTGAATAGCCATGGAGTTGGGGGGTTTTGTTTTGCACCTGGAACTGTGCACCTTTAAATGCAGTAGTCCTTCAGAAAAAGCTTAGTTCTCTGAGAGTTCTTGAACTGGACGAGTCTCTCAAGGAAAATAAGCAACTTAGTAGGAAGCAAATGTGCCTGAACAAAGTCTGTGAAGTACAGCTTTGTTTAAAAGAAGCCAGCAAGCCAGCAATTAACAACCTTTGATTTAAATAAGTGGTGAAGTCATATTCATTCATTCTTTTACGACCTATACCCCAGTGGTGAAATCTAATTTTTTTTGCCACCAGTTCTGTGGGCATGACTTGGTGGGGCGGGGTCGTGTGACTGGGTGGGCATGGCCAACTTTTTTTCTCTTTTAAAGCATTTTTTCCCTGCCGGTTTGGGTGAATAGGTAGGGAAAAAAGATTTTAAAAAGTTTTTAAAAAATGGTTCCAACGATCATGCAGCTCACAGCTGATCTGTGCGATCGTCAGAACCATTTTTTCACTCTTTAAAACATTTTTTAATTACCGGTTCTGGTAAATAGGTAGTTAAAAATGCTTTAAAAAGTGAATAAAATAGGTTCCATGACAATCAGCTGTGCTTTGAAAACCTTTCCCCCACACTTTTTAAAGCATTTTTTAAATGCATTCATAATCCCATGGATCTTCAATGGTTATAAAGTACATGTGGATGTTTTTATCTTTACTTATGTTTATATGCTGCCACTTGTGTGACCCTTAGGATCTGGCTATCCTGTCAGGCCTGGGGATAAGNCGCGTCCAGGACTTTCTGGGCCTCAAGAGGATCATCACAGATAAACATTTCTACTTCAACAAAACCAAGGGGTTCCCATGCCTGAAAAAGGCTGAAGGCAGCAGCAAGCCCCACTGCCTGGGCAAGACGAAAGGACGGACCCATCCCGACATTGACCAGAAAGTAATACAAAGGCTGCGAGAATTCTATCGGCCCTTCAACATGAAGTTCTACCAGATGACTGGCCATGACTTTGGCTGGGATTGATGGCACTTCCCAGAGTCAATCCCGTCTTTCAGCTTCCTTTCCTCCTATACATGTAGATAGGTCTATATGTAAAATGTACAGAAATCTATTTTATAATAATTTATTTTTTAATTCTTAAGCAATTAATTCACTAAGCTGCCTAACCCCACTGTAGCTCATAGCTGTCTTCTTGTTTAGTTTGAACATTCCATCGGGCTGAGTCTCGCCAGGTTCTTCATTGCCTGGCTTCAGCATGTGCTGGAAAGTGCTTCCAGGTATTTTCCCAGGAGAACTTTTAATATTAAAAAATAAATAAGGAGGGTGGGGGGGTGTTGGCGAATAATGGTTAAGAGACAATGAGAAAAGCACAATCTTTATTATTATTATAATTATTATTATACTTTGTTTTCCGATACGGGTACTAGGCATGTCAAAAACAATTTTGTACAAGGCCCTTCATATTGCATCTCTGGGCTTTTTCCCTTCCTAGATCAATCCACAAACATTTGTATTTTTGTTAGCTTGGAAATAGCTCAGAAGTAAAAAAAAAAACACGATTAAACCTCAGGCAGTTGCTTTCATGGTTGGGCGTGGCATATGCACAGAAGGAAACACTCTCCAGCTATGGAGTTGTTACTGCCTCCTGTTTCCCATTTTAATTGATCAGATCTTAGCATTTCCCCTTAACTACAAAAGTTTTGTGACACAGTAGACTTTCTATATGATTATGTACAGCTTATCTGATCTTTCATTTTTAACTTCTTCCTGCTGAAGAAATGTGAAGTGCTTACTTGGGAGACCAGAAATGACACAGTATTTAATTCTTTCAAGCTTAGTTTTCATCCGTTACAGAAGAAGAGTGTGAAGCCTCTGTTTGTTTTCTGAATCCCACTTTGATTTCTCACAATGACTGATCATTCCACAAGTGGCGTCCTATCCCATGCAACAAGCTAATACCATTAGCTCATTGCTACATTCAACCTGTATGTTGACTGTGGCAGTGAAATAAAGGCCTGTTTTTATGGGGCTTTATTTCCTCCCAAAAATAGTTTAAATATAAGCACAAAAACACAATACCATTTGAAATTAATTCAGTTTACTAAATGCTATAGATCAGAGATGAGTGAACATTTTACAAGCTTGCTGAAAGATGCACTAGAGATGGATATTCAGGAAATGTAGTTTATCCAAACTTCATCAAATAATTCTACAAACCCTTAAGCTACTTTTTGTGTATATACCTAACAGCACTGTTCTGCGATAATTCTACAAACCCTGTCAAGAGTGAGTTTTTTCAGGGTGCTCCCATCTGGCAGACAAAATCCATTGCATATTTAGAGAATTGGTTACTCTTTGTTCCATCAGAAATTTTATTCTCCATAGGTGTGAGCCTGAGCGCATTATAATAGAGTCAAAATAAGTTCTTAAGGTCCCCAAGACAAATGTGAATCAGAATGAATGGGATTATCACTTGTATTCTTATCTTAAGAGATAATTGGATATAGTAATGAATGAGAAAATTATTCTGGGGGATTCCTCAGAGGAAAACATGGATAGCCATACCAATACATATGCAAACACACTGGCTGAAGGCATAGATTTTTCTGTAAATATTCATCCTTTACATTGGGCTTCTTGGTCTTGAGGAATTTACTACATCTTCTGACAGAATACAGGCTATAAGAAGAAAGACATTTGGATCTCCTTCTCATTAGAAGATGCAGCATATATGGTCACCCATATATACATCCATTTAACTCTGATATTTATTTGATAAACAGATGACTTTTTCATATGGTCAATCCAACGGACATCCTTTGTTCTAGAGCATTGGAGTGAATTTTAATTTCTAGGCCTTATGTTTTCTATTTCAAAACTTTTTGATTTTTTGGGGGGGATGAAACTGCTGAGTGTATGCTTGGACTTTCTGATCTCTATTTTGGAATGGGTGAAGGATACTTTCCTAGTTGCATAAAGCATGATAGGTATGGTATCCACACACCTTGTTTTCTGTGTGTGTGCATTTTTTTGAGTGATGACATTGCCATCAATTCACTGTTATAATATTGAACTGCTAATCGTGGCTGATCAGCCCACTCAATGGAAACCTTCTGAAGCCAATTTATTGAAGAGGCCTTACCTAAATATTAAATAAAGTAGCCAAGAGAGGCATATATCATATGATATTTGAACTGCATAGATAGTAGCCTTCATACATATTGCCAATTTTTGTTCCATTTGCAAGATTTGGAGGTCTAGTTATACGTCTTTTCAACCTATAACATTAATTTATGGCTGAGTTCCATTCAGCACTGCAGTATGTCCTGATATTAGCAATATTTTTGAGTTTGCTATAACATGTTGTGGGTTAGAATGGTACACTTGTAAAAGGAAACAAATGACGAGCAAAAACTGTAAATTGAATATTTTATGGTATGTACAACACAAATTAATTTTACACAGAGGTTTCTAGGAAAATGGAATTCTGATTCATACTATTTGAAGAAATAAAATATATTTTACCAAATCATGAAGACTATATCATTCCTTTTCATTGACAAATTAAAGCTGCCGCTATCTTTGTTTGGAAAACTTTGGAACACTATCTAATAAAGAAGACAATATTTTGGCTTGGAGAAGAGCAACCCTCACATCATCTTTGTTACTTTTATGACAAAAGTGTAGTTTCATGCCAGGATAGCTAGCATCCCAAAGATTTTGCAGTTCTTCTGCAGAAGAATGGAGTTGTCCTGCCATTGTGAAGAGGACAAGAAAGAGGGCAGAACAAAGAAAATCCTTCTGTTTAACTGACATGCACACACATACATAGATGTGGATAGATGCACAAAATGCAAACTCTATTTTAGTAGTGGCATCATTTATTCCCCACCCATTGGAAGAATTGAAAAGCAGTTAAATTAAAAACAAAGAAAACAAAAACAAAGCCACACATGCTGTATATTGCTGCAACCCCCATCCCCACCCCACCTCTCAAATACTACTCTCCCCAACCTTGGGAAATTAGTGACTTGTCTTTCATGGGTTTTCTTTTCACATGCCGAGCAGTATTATTCTGGACATCAACTTTTCCTAGCAAGATGCATGATAAAAATTTGAGGAACCAGATGAAAGTTTTAAAAGCCTTGGCTAAGGTTGAGATACTTCTGCCTTTTCTAAGGACACCAATTAAGGAGAATGACACCTCTGGTTTTCAATCTGTTGTTATCTGGAAATGTGTGGAAGAACTTTGGTCCTCCCAGATTTTACTGAATTGACCTTCCAGCAATTGGTCAAAGATGAACTCTGCAGTCCCCAAAGATTTGGAGAGCACGATTCCCAATCTATAGTCTAAAACAGTAAGTTTTCAAAAGAAGGAAGGGGCTATTTCCCCTTCCAGAAATAAACTGTTCCATAGAAGGGGAGGTTTCTGGAGAATATCTGAGCCCATTCTTACTAGATTTCCTGATCCATGAGGACTTACTGACTGGTTTGTGATTACGTCCAACACCCACATTTTTCATGAGGGCATTATAGCCAAAGAAATAGGTAGATGAGATCTGGAATGCTGAAATTCTCTCTGGAAAAAAGGGGGTTCTGGAGATTGTCTATATGTACTCTGAACATCTGCTTTTTGTGAGCTGGTAGCAGAAATTTTTGCAACCCACTTGCACTTGCTCTGAGCTACTTAATCATTATTTAGATTGGACAGTTTTTCTTTTGGAAATGCCAAAAGTGTAATGGATTATTTGTAATATTTATTTTTATTTTTGATATCCAAATAAGGGATTACTTCTGGTAATGTTTAAAAAAAGAATTGTTAATTATTTTTAATGTTTAATTGCTAAGAAAAGGATGAGGGGAGCTTAGACTAAATGGAAAGGGCCTATATACTTCTGTTATTTAGTATGTTTATTCAGTTTTACTGGATCTTTGCTGATTCAGAAGGCTATCATTTTCTTTTTTAAATTATTTTTGTGCACCTGCAGGAGCAATAGGGGAGAATTTTGGCAACCCAGAACTTTCCCAAGGAGAGTCCCACATTAAGAAATCACATAGTCCTTACCTGGAGGGAAGAGAGGGTAAAAAGTTTAGGGTTGCCATACTCTAGAATTTCTCAAAATGAATCTAGTAATATAGCTTTAGTTTGGCAAGATACTGTCAATTAGGTGCAAGCAATAAAGGATTGGACTCAATTAAAATTATCAGTGTTGTCTTGCCCAAGCATATAGACAACACTGAGAATTTTAATTGAGTTATCACCCTTAATAAAATACTGCACCTTACTGACTGCCTCATTTAATGACTTAAGATTTATGCTGATATAAAAAAAAACTAGTTCTGTCACCAATCCTTGCATTTACAAACTTTGCAGCATCCCATGGCCCTGTGATCACCATTTGTGTACTTCACAATTGGCTTCCAACAAGCGGAGTTAATGAAGGACAAGGAAGTAAAATGGAAAGTTATGGTCACAAGATTGCCCCACCTTTGGTATAAGAGGAAGGTAAAAGGAAACACGGTGAGACTTTCAAAATTGTTTTTTTTAAAAATTATCCTGTATAATAACACTAGTATTTCTTGTGTTCCTATTTTCTGAATTGGTCCTTCATGTTGGGCTGACAAGACCTGATTCTTTACACCACAACTGCTTCATATTATTTAGTGAAAATTGAGGTTTCTGTAACTCAGGGCTGTCAAACTTGCGACCCGTAGGCTGGATACATCATACGCTGGCCATGACCAGGCTCAATGTAGCGAATGGGAAAAAATTGTGATACATCACGTGATGATGTGAGTTTGACACCGCCTCCCTGTGATCCTTCTCAGTATGGTTGAAGCTTCATTTATCAGTGTGATTCCCTCACCCTTTTCTTACTATCAATGCCAGGCAATAGGTTGACTCAGCCTTCTATCCTTCTGAAGTCAGTAAAATGAGGACCCAGATTGTTAATTGAGATATGCTGACTCTGTAAACAGTGTAGAGAGGGTTGTAAAGCAACGTGAAGCAGTATATAAGTCTAAGTGCTATTGCTATTTGTATTAAGCTGTTGCACAATCTTGGAACTCAGATATCCTTCCACCCCAAAAGTAATGGCCTTCCACATATACCCGAAGGTAAATAAAAGTTTTGCTGTGTTGGATATAGGCACATCTAGATTTCTGAAAATCAGTTTTCCTCTTTCTGTATTTATGAGATGTTAGCAATTTTTATAAATGCAAAGAGGCAGAAGCATTTCTGCCAAATGCAAAATTGTCTGTAGGAGCTGTCCAAAGTGTACTTTTGGCATGGTTTTCTAAAAGACTAAAGTAGTCCTGTACATTTTTGAAAGAACAGAAAGCATATCTATACACAAAAAGTCACAAACAGGTTAATAATCTATTTCCCTTTCCAAAGAGAATTGCTTTTTCCTGAAAATGCAGAACTGACAGCTTCAAAGAACATATGTTTAAGCATGCTATGCTGGCTGCACCTTAATGTTTGTTTGAGATGTCTATAAATGTATATAAAAGAATGTGTGCACGCACACACCCCCACCCTTGTACTCAGAGGCCAGAAATCATGTTTTAGGAAAAGATTTAGGAAAAGTTAAACCAATCATGTGTTTCAAAATCTTGGGCTAGCTTCAGCTAAACAATTTGGCACCCATTAGAAGGGAATATTTGTAGCTCAGGGTTGAACTGTGAGGTCTTTGGTGCTATTTGAGCATGGCTGTTTCCTTGTAGATATTTTATTACCAAACTAAGTAACATTTTCAGTGCATTGAAATGAAGGGTCCTTGGTGCTCTCTGAGTTTGGTGGTTTTCTTGCAGACATTTTATTACCAAACTAAGTAACATCATCAGTGATAGGAAGGGAGTGAGGTTTATAAAATAAGAGCAAATCCCATTCCCTTCAAGCATCAATGATGTTACTTAGTTTGGTAATGAAACATCTGCAAGAAAACAGCCAAGCTCAGAGGGTTTCAAGGACCCCACAGTTCAACCCTGAGCTACAAATATTTCCTTCTAATGGGTGCCAAATTGTTTAACTGAAGCTAGCCCAAGATTTTGAAACACATGATTAGGACCCAGTAACTGGTAACTATTGGCCGTTAACATTACAGTAATAAACACTATTTGGAAAACTCCTAGATGTCACAAATTTGTAAGCTAATAAACAGTCTCTTCCCTCCTGATTTTCAAAGAGCCTTTAAACTGCTTAGGCATTTTCTAAAGACCATCATTCCTCCCAGGCTTCCTGATGTGAATGGGAAAGATGGTTACTTATTGGATTCATTTCGGTTCATATAATCTTCCCCTCTGATTCATTTTAATGTGTAAGTTTTCCACTAATTGGTTAAACATAGCAGTTTAATTGGTGTTCTAACATCTTATGGTAAACTAATTGAAAATATTTGAGAAGTAATATAAAATGTATTTTTTTATAAATAGGAGAGAAATCACAATATCTACAGTATGTTATTCACGCATATAGTTCTCTCTGTGTATTTGTGCATGAACAGCCAGTGGAGGAGCAAGTGTTATCATTACATCATTGTGCAAATGAGGCATAATTCACAACCTTTGCCTGATGACACCATTACATATAATGGCAATATAGCTTCTCTGGATTGCTCATGCCTGAGAAGGGGGGGGGAATGAAGATGGAGGAGGGAGGAGGAGAAAGTGTCTGTAGCAATTGTTCCTTTCTTTAAAGAAAGTAAAAGTACTTTCTGATCATGCATCTCCACTTTTCCCCAACTAAAACTCCTTACTTTCCAGAAGTAAGAGAAAAATCATATTTTAGAAGACTCTTCAAATATAATCCTCAGTACTGTTTTTATCAATTGTTGTTTACAATGCCTTAAAATGCACTTTGGGGGATTTTTAACTGTTGATTTATGTTTTCTCTTTGGTTTTAGCTTTTAAGATTTAACTACTATTACTGAGCTCCTCTAGAACTCTATGGAGGATGAACAATGACTCATACTATATAAAACAAATATAGTATAACAACTAGCCCTTTTTAGAGAAGTCATGATTGGACTATGTTAATTGATCTTGTATGAGATATTGAGTATAATCTACGATAAATACATTCTTCTAGAAGTATGTCCTGTTTATATTATATATTCTACTAAGCAAAACCATGGAAATGGTACAGAATTGAGGCAGTCAATGTATAGCTTAGGAAAGACTTTGAACACATTTTATGGGTGACGTGTAACAGTTTATTGTTTATACATTTCCCTAGCTGTCTGCAGCATCCCAGCTTGGTTTCCCAATATCCATTCAGTGTATTCACTTCAAATCTAGTAGTGTAGTAAAACAGAACTCTCTTACCTGGCCCAAGAATTCTGCACCATTTCACTTTCAATGGT